GGGGGGTAAGGTCTTTGGGAGTAATGCCTAAAAAGGGAGGGGGGAGTGCGTGCGCGTTTGGAGGCTGGTGAGTAGGGCGTTTAGGGAGGGCGGAAGGGCGTGAGGGAGGGAGAGTGCATAAATATTATGGGGAGGTGGGTGTTAGCAACAAGGACGTGTCTTGATTTTAAGGAGGAGGGATTAATCATATTATGGGGAGGAGGGGTAGGGTGTGTTTGTGCTGATGTACTTTATGCTGAGCTTTAAAAAGTTTTCAGCGGGTACGAAGGAGTGGGAGTGTGGGTAGAGGAAGAGGGTAGAGAAAGGAAAATGGTCTACTAAACTGACCTTGTTGCATGAATTCCACGCCTGCCAGTCATAGTATCGGTTTGCTTCGGAATGCTGAGAAAAAAAGGGTATAATTTGTTTTTCAATTTTTGGGACCATGACAAACAGGCCTGGGGTACAACTTGTTTTTCTGCTATGTAATGCTTTCCCACGACGTGCCAGTTTTCCCCCCGTAACAGCCTACAGCAGCAGACACAATACTATATAGGCCACGCCACTGCCGGGCCTCTTGGTCCCGATTTAGAAAGAAAGAAAAAGAAAAAGGCAGAGGGATAAGCGAGTATATTTAGAACTTTGACCCAATCCAGATTCAAGCCTTGACTTAACTTCCCCGTTTTAACCAAGTCCTCAACAGGCTGTGCAGCAATGTGATAAGAATAACAATATGTTGGATGAATGAACGCGCCAAAGATTTCAGTCAGTAAGGATGGGGGTCGAGTGGAAAAGAGGGGGGTGGGCATGGTGCGGGATAGTTTAACTCTTTAAGGAACTGGTGGACACAAATAATTATTATGTCCGATAAGCAGAAAACCAAACAGAATATTTTGGCATATTTCGAATATGATGCACAATTTTTTTTAACATGTTTTTGTTTAAATATATTACACAGCATGCACGTTGTGTTGTCTGCTTTTCTCTAAGTTTCAGGATAAGAAGACAGTATGGATATAAAGTTATATCTTTTAAAATGTCCCAAAGCAGTGAATCGCCAAGCTTTGCCGAATTACTAACATGCATGTCGTCAGTGAGTTAACGCTCCTATGATCACTGTGGATTCCATACTCCGCACTCAATGTCCTTTTCCGATTGGACTGAACAAAGAGGGCGGAAAGTAGGGCGATAAGAATGTCTCAAACAATTTAGTGTCGTAAACGCCCCCGTCGAACGTTCAAAATTGTGTCACCCGCAGCGTAGCCCAGCACACTGTTGTAGTCAACCCGATGTAGTGTTCTTGTATTTGCTGTTTTGGGGTTTTGTAGTTGTTATTATAAGGTGTTTTACGCCCCCGTCAACCCAATTTAGAACATCTGGGAGGCAGGTTTCGAGGCTACCTGCCAGGGCCAACCTTCACTGAGGGAAACGTCTCAGCGGGAAGCCCAAGATACTTGATATAAATTCTACCCTCATGAGAATCGAACTCAGGTTTACTGCGATAACCACTACACCACAGTTGCCGGTCCTATGTAGGGTGAGGGATTGCGAATTGGGTGGGGGGGGGG